TCAAACACATTCCTCTGTGGCTCCGTAATCCTCTTGATCAGAAAATTTGGAGCACAAGAGTTACATGTTGTTACAGTACAGGTTCTCCTATGTCCCAAGTCTTCACTGACCTTGAAAGGCTAGGGCCAAAATGTTGGCTAACCATGCAGCCCTTCCTTTTCTCCAATTTTGATCTGCTAACTTAGGTTGTTAACCCTCCAGCAGAGAAGCTTATAATTAACCTGCAACATATGCAGTTTGGTTTACCCTGTCTAAGTATCAAACTCTAATGTCTTAGTTTTCTAAGTGAATGGATATTTCTGTCTCAGTTCTACATAATCTTGAGCACGTACTTACATGTTTGTGTGTAACTAACTGGGAAGTAAAATTGGTTTTGGTGGTCATTTAATGGGTGAAATTATCTGATGGAACAAATCAGATCACAAGAGAAATGTTGGGTTTTTTTTTTCAGATTAGGATTAAAATAATTCTGTTAAGATGTATTCTCAGAAAAGTTTATTTTCAGAAAAGAAAATTTTAAGTGGAATTCTGCCTCATTACCACCTGGCATCCACTTTAACTGATATCCATAACCAGGTTAAGGACAAACCTAGATGAAGTTTTAGCCCACTCTGGATAGAACTAAAATATGCTGAAGATATTGATGTATAATAAACATCCAAAATTAAGATTGGCTTTACTTTTTAATCTTTTATAAATCACTAATCAGTGCCACTAACTGTTACTGAATCAATTGGTCTCCATACTTAGCACTTAGTCCAGGTGTGTGTGTGTGTGTGTGTGTGTGTGTGTGTGTGTGTGTGTTAATACTGTTTCCCAAATTTTAATCTAATTGAAAATTTTAAAAGTGATTTTCAGAATAGTATGTCACTGTTCAAGTTATAAGAATGTTGTTAAAATGTTCTGTCTCAAATTATAAGAGATACCAGGGCTGGGGAGATGGCTCAGTGAAATAAGCGCTTCCCTGGCAAGCACAAGGGCCTGAGTTCAATCCCCAGTTCTGCAAAAAAAAAAAAAAAAAAGAAAGAAAGAAAGAAAGAAAGAAAGAAAGAAAGAAGAAAGAGAAAAAAAAAGAAAAAGAAAATGTAAACACCGTTTGGGGCCAGGGAGATGGCTCAGTAGAATAAGTGCTTGCCTGGCAAGCACACAGGCCAGAGTTCAATCTCTGGTTCAGCAAAAAAAAAAAAAAAAAATTATAAGAGATGTTCTCAAAAATTGAACTTGAAAATATATAGAGAAAAAATATTGGTGAATAGAAGAAATGTTTAAGTTGCAGATTTAAATGGGCCTAAGAATACACTTTTTGTTTGTTTTACAGGTTATATTAAAAGAGAAAGTAAAAGAACTGAATTTACATGAGGTAAGTTCCTTATAGGTAGTGTTTTAATCTTTTCTTGAGCTATTTTCTAATATAAGTATTATATTGTGGTGTGTTCAAATACCTTTCTCTTCACAAGTTCAAAAAATAGGTTTATTTTCATCAGTGGAATAGACTATTTAAAGGTGAAGTTACATAAAACTCAGTTGTGTGAGGGTCTGCATACAGTCATGTTCCTGATAGGGATGGTACCACAGATGCTACTTGCAATCCATGTTGCATGAAAAGGGGAAAGATAGCAAGTTAGTGTTCAGAATGAATTTGTTAGTGTTCAGAATGAATTTGTATTTATTTCACCTTAAAAATGTTCCCAGGGGGTCGAGATGGCTCAGTGGAATAAGTGCTTCCCTGGCAAGCACATGGACCTGAGTTCAATTCCCGGTTCTGCCAAAAAAAAAAAAAAAAAATGTTCCCAGGGCTTGCCAAATAGCTCAGCAGATTCAGGGGTTTGATCCCCGGACCTGCTGTGCCGGCCCTGCTCCCCACGCACGCTGAGATGGCAATTGAGACTGGGTGTGGTAGTGCACGCCTATAATCCCCAGCTCTTGGGAGGCTGTAAACAGGTGGATCACTACTAGTCCAATCTAGTAGTGAGACCCTGAATACCCTGTAGACCCTTCCCTAAAAAATACAAAAAAAAAAAAAAAAAAAAAAATGTTTCCAGTATTCCCCTATCAGTGGCCATGAAAAAAGAAAACTATTATTTCCTGGAGTGTGGAGTAGAGGAAGTGGAGCAGAGAAAGATAGAGTAAGGGAGGTGTGTGCATATGTATAAGGCTAAGAACCTCGGGGATTGTCTAGCTCTTGGGTTGTAGGGCTGGTTCCCACGTAACTTAAGGATACATCTGACTGGATATCCTATCCTACATTTTATGTTTTGCTTTGTTTTTTGAGACAGGATCTCCCTATGCAGTTCAAGCTGGCCTTGAACTTACTATGTAGCCTAGACTGGCCTCCAACTTGCAGCAGTCCTCCTGCCTCAGCCTCCCAACTGCTGGGATTATAGGTGTCTGCCACCATGCCTGGCTTCGTATTGTATGTTTTAAGACACATTATGTATAAGAATTCTTTTCATTGCTACTCCTTGGGTTGTCTCTGGCTGCAGATGTTCGTAATTTTTATTTCCCTTTCTCTTCTTGCCTTTCTGAATTTTTGAATTGGTATTTAAAGCATGTATTTGAAAAACTGTACATTATAAAGTCTGTATCTTACATAGTCTAAATGTAATGAAGCTGCATTGTTCATCTCTTCAAAGACAGTTAATTTGGGGCTGGGGATATAGCTCAGTGGCATAAGCACCTGCCTGGCAAGCGCAAAGTCTCAAGTTCCATCCCTGGTAGTGTAAAAAAAAAAAAGTTAACTTGTGGAGTTAATTGAATAATAAAAATAATTATCTACATTATGATTAGACACTTTGAAATCATCTACTACTCCTTTAGGCATTCTGCATATTTTTCATCAGAGAATTGTCACTGGAATCTCACACACACACACCCCCGTACCAGGAATTGAACTCAGGACCCTGTGCTTGCCAGGAAGGCATTTTATTCTACTGAGCTATCTCCCCATCTTCATCAGAGAATTGATGTTTTTGTTTAACATCATTTTAGATGTAACCTTTGATTAAACCAAGCATCGTTTACTGTTTTTTTTTTTCTTTTATGTATTTGGTACAGGATCTCACTACATAGTTCTGACTCGTAGTGATCCTACTGTTTTCATCCTCCCCAGCGCTGAGATTACAGGCATAGGCCACCATGCCCAGTCTCAATGGTGGCTCAGCACACCTGGGAGCAGGGCTGGCTCGGCATGTAGTGCTGCACTGCAGGCTGACTGGGGATCTCACCCTGTCCCTGTGTCTGCCTAAATAGGAGCTTTAATCTGCTGAGCTATCTGGCCAGCCCTCCTTTTTATTATTTTTTATTTACTGTTATTGTTGTTGGTATCTGTAACACACACTGGACCTGAACTTGCCATCCTCTAGCCTTGATATCCCAAGAGGCTGGGATCAGAGGTGTGTGCCACCCTGTCTAGCTACAAACTCTGTTTTGAAAAGATCAAATATAATTTTGGACACTGGAAGAACAACTGAATGAAAATGAGCGATCAGTCCAACTTGTGCTTGGGTGTGGTTAGTACTGAGCCTCCAAAGGATAGGCCTAACCTGCAGAAGGTTTAGAAGAGGAGCCATGGATGTAGCTCAGCAGCATAAGTGCCTGCCTGGCAAGCACAAGGTCCCGAGTTCAATCCCTGGTACTTCTTCCAAAAAAAAGAAAGTTCAGAAGATTTGGGTCAGGGCTCTTGAGAAGTAAGGGTCTGTTGAGTCTAGGAAGTGAGTACATCATCCCCCTTTATAGATAAGAAGCTGAGGCCCAAAAGGGACCCTGATACTGAAAGTTAGCTTCTGTTTTATCCAAATTGTTCTTAACTTGCTTCCAGAAACAAAAAATGGGCTTGAAAATAGTGTTCACAGGGGGCTGGCAAGTTAGCTTGCTGGTCTAAGCACCTGCCTGGCAAGCACAGGGACCTAGGTTCAAGCCCCAGTGCCACATGCCTCACCAGCCACTGAAACGGGGCATGGTGGCCCACACCTGTAATCCCAGCTCTGGTGAGGCAGAAAACAGTAGGATCACTACAAATCCAAGCTGTGTAGTGAGACCCTGTACCAAATACATTTTAAAAAACACACACAAAATGTGAACTTTAAGAACAGCTGGCATTGGTGAGCTGCCTTTCCACATCCTTCTATCTGATCAGACAGCAGTCATGAGGAGCAAACCAGGGACAAAACTCTGCCCTGCTCTTCCTCCTTCTGCAGTTCTGACCCAACAGTCATCTACTGTCCTCCTGGGAAAATCCTGTCTGTGGTCCATGAAGGGCCATCGGAAGATCAGTATTCAGGGTGCTGGCTATGATGTACATTAACCTAGGAGGGTGGGCTGACATGGTAGAGGTTAGGAAAGTGGAGAGAGTGAAACCAGGCCATCATCAAGAATAGGCCAGTGCCCAATCCAGGCCACTGGGAATGGACAGAGATGCATGTAAAGGCATGCGGCCATTACACATGAGGCTTGTTTCTATGGGGCATCAGGGCAACAGACCTGGATCCCCAGCCATGCCCAGCTGGTCCCCGATACAGTTTCTGTCTCCATTCCTGTAAAGTGGGCAAATGCAAGTGTACAGTATCCAGGACATTCGTCAGCACTCAGGAAGTTGTGTTGGAAATGAGAATCAGGTGGCAAAGAAAGCCTCTTTCCAAGTAGCAGAGATTCCTAATATAGTCTACATATTTTCATAAATTTTCACTTAGTGAAACCTTAACTTTTAATTTGACAAAGATAGGATAGCACCATAGTAGAAAGTCCTCCACAAAACTACAGTGAGGATTGCTCAGAATGTGCCCTGCAGTGAGCATTCAGGAGCCAGGGCTGCACCACAGAGCAGGCAGAGCATCTCTGGGGAACGTAAAGCGTGTATGTGTGACACCGTGACCCTGTCACACATCTCTCCTGTCTGCCTACTGCCTTTGAGCCATGCAACAGGAACATTATGAGGCCCTTACTCAGCAGGCTGTGGCCATGCCAGCCTCTTGCCCTCACATAAAGAACCTTTGGCCTTATTTATTACTTTGTCTTTCAGCTCTGTGCAGTATGTCTAGAAGACTTCAAGCCTCGAGATGAGTTGGGGATTTGTCCATGTAAGCATGCCTTCCACAGAAAGTGAGTAACGTTACAGAATTGTTTAGTTAGTGTGATCCAACTTAGAGGTACATCAGCCAATGTAATATGGGCCTTGGGGCAACGCCAGATGGCTTTTCAATTGGTCTAAAAAGCTGACGAACCCCTCAGAGTAGGAGCCAGGGCTGCACCACAGAGCAGGCAGAGCATCTCTGTGTACGTGACATTAGGAGGGACAGGCAGGCAGACCATGACCACCACAAGACAGCTTGAGCAGAGCCACCCAAGTCCACGCCTCATTGGCATGTAAGCTGTAAACAGCTGTTTGGCTGGAACTTTCCAATGACAGTTTCAATCTCCTAAATATATTTCAATCAGAGCCATAGTTACTTTAAAGCATAGTAAGTAGTCTGGATATAAATGGTGGCATGAAACAGCCTCCTCTCCCTTCCTGAAGACATAGTAATATTCCCCCTTTGCACTCAATTTTATGTTTTGGATTTATATTAGAAAACTGTATTTTTCCTAGTTGTCACCTCCCTCCCCAGTGACCTTTATTCTTTAAGTAGTGAGCAGCTCAGGGCTCAGTATACTCACTGTGACCTCTTGCTATCACCTTGTGGGAGATAGATTTGCTGGTTCCTGCACAGTGTGGCAGGCCTTCTCTGCATGTCGTGGGGCTCCTTGGGACCACACCCAATTCACACTCTGGCTTTGGACCACAGATGTATCCACAAGTCATGGCAACAGCAATCTGGGGACTGGGGCTGCCATGAACCTGGGGCTCACATCCCCCTTGTGGCATGTCGTTCTGCAGGTGCCTTATTAAGTGGTTGGAGGTTCGGAAAGTGTGTCCCCTGTGCAACATGCCAGTTCTGCAGCTGGCCCAGTTGCACAGTAAACAGGACCATGGACCCCCCCAGGGCCCCCTCCCCGGAGCAGAAAACATTGTATAGCTCACTGTGTGGATCAGACTGTTGCTGGATGAGATCTGCGTGGAGCCAGGAGGAACACAAGCAGTCTATGTCTTGGCTGCTGTCTACCTGAGGCACCAGCTGCCATTTCCCTTGCCTCGTGGAGAACTCTTGGCCAGCTAGGCTGGGAACCCAGGCCTCTGGATCTTGTGACAATCAACGCAGTCTGACATCACCCTACGCCAAGAGGATTGGATAAGCCTGCAAGTTTGTTTCCAGAAACTTCATAATGGTCTCTTGCTAACTCCATTACGCTGTTTACCAGGCACTTACCTCCATGTCAAGGTGAATCTTTATTAATTTAAGCAGAAGGGAAGGATGAACACAGGTGTTAGAGAAGGGAGCTGAGAAAAGGTTTCTAAATCCGTACCCCACCCTAAGGACGATAAGCTTCTGTGCAGAACCCTGGAAACCTGGCAGCCCTGAGCCAAGTAAAGCCAGCGGTTACGCCAGCTGAAGCACAACCTGCCAGTGCCCGTAAGGCTTGTGTTCATCCGATAAGGTCATACTGAACCCAAGGGCTTTCGGTGCAATTGCGCAGTCCTCTCACCACTTTGCCCCAAGTTCAGTGCTTGGTGTCACATCAAGCTGAAAACAATCAGTGGGGCTGAAAAGGCCTGATCAGAGATCATTTCCTCTGATCATGTCCCCTCCTTTTCACCGGTGGGGCTCATCAGGAGCCCGCACTGTCCCTGTATGACCTGGGGGCCCACAATACTGTGCAGGGTCCTTATAGCTGCTGCATTCTGCTTGTCGCTTTAGGACCACTGTGAGCCCCTCAAGTGACCCCAGAGAGGAGCAGCTTTCTGAGAAAGGCTGATCTGCCTGGCCCCATTGGATGAAGATGCTGCTTCATCCAGCTTTGCCCCTCTTCTTTCCCTCTGTTCTTTTGTCTCTTGCCCTGTTTCTACTTAAAATGCTTGCCAGTGACTTTTAAGTTTATCCTTATAAGATCACTGTGTAAGTCTGAAGCCCAAAGCCAGTGATCCACTCAGAATTATAACTGGGTCCATCCCCTCCTTCACTGGTGTGTGCCTCAGTATTTGGACTTGCATTGATGACTGCAGGTGTCTTTATAAGAGGGAAGTGCACGCTGCCCTTTGGCTCTTTCTGTCCTGCTTTTCTGAAAATGATTCTGCCCCCTCTTAAGCTCTATAACTCAGTCATAAAAGCATCAGTGAGTGACAGAAAATGTTCTTTCCCCCAGCCTGCTCTCTCCACCACAGGAGCGCTTCCACAAGGCCTCAGCAACCACTGTGTTCCGCTCCATCCACAGGTGTGAGTGGGGAGGGTTTTTACTGGAAAGTCTGTGTGACATGGAGAGAGGATGGAAGGGCTTGCTGCTCTGCTTATGGCATATTCCGGGCATTTTTAGGGGAGTCCAGCCTGTACTGTCTTGGAATGAGAGCAAACCTATCCTTGGCTCAGGTGGCTGAGGTCAGATGAGAAGGAAAATTCCCATTTGCCTAGAAAAGTGCCAAGCAGAATCCAGTTTGGAAAATTACTAATCCAGTCAGAATTGGCCGTTTCCTATGGGTGATCTATTTGTGGTATGCCAACTGGCCTGCTTCCTAAACAGGGCAAGAGAAGTATGAACTATTTTTATTCGAACGCCTTAGCCTGTTTGGCTACAAACACAAAAGGAGAACTCTTTATACACACTCACCCTCCTTTCATGTTGTTTGTAGCATGACTGCACCTAATGCTGCAACACCCAGTTTACAGTGAAATGTTTTCAGTGACCAATGTCAGAAGTGGCTTGCTTTGGGCCTAACCTCCTCAGTAGCTAGCATGTACCATTTTTATAGCAACCTGGAGTAGATGTCCCTTTCTAGTAGGGCTCCAACAGAAAGAATCCTTCCCATCAAAGGAGGAATGCCTATGCTCTATACAACTACTGACACAGCCTCTGAAGGATTCTCACAGTTCAGTTGCAGCCCTTTCGGTCCCTTTGCAGAACTGAGGACACAGCCTCATGAGTCCCCTGCCTTTGCACAGAGACAGAATAGTGAGCTCACTGTGTCAGAGTTCCAGGCAGGTGGAGGCAGTTGGTGCCAGGCTGGCCCTCAGGCAGTGAGTCTCTTCCCTAGCCTCACTTTCACCACACTTATGGATATGGAGTGCTTCAAGGCATTTCTTCTAGAACCAGCTAGAGCTGGAGATGTATTTCCCCTCACCCCATCTCCTGTGTTGTGGCCTACAGTGGCAGGTGGCAGGCCCAATATCACTCATAGTTCTGGCAGCTCTTGGCCACACAACCCCAGTAGGTTTGCTCCCCACCCCCAAACCAGCCTTTATGTCTACAGCACTGGCCATGCAAATGACCCCTTCATTAATGTCATCTCTTTACTCAGATTAAATTCACAAGTTTCTGAAGGCAACTCCATCCACACTTTTTAAAAGAACCATGTAGGGGGGAAAATGATGTAAGGATCCCTTTATACTCCCTTGGCTCAGACCCAAATTCATAGAAGGCTGCCCTTTCCACACCCATGAGCACTCGTCTGTGGTTAAATGTGTGGATACAAGGGCACTCCACGCTGCTCTTGGATGGTGTAGTTCCTCAGTGTCTTAGGCAGCACAATGTGCACCATGGGTTAATGGAGTGCACTGTCCCAGCTGGACCCTTGTGGCTAAATCATTATCTGGTCATTGCTAGGGTCACAAATGAACTGAACTGGATGCAGAAACTGGGAACAGTCTCATCTGCTGCTTTTCTTATCTGCCCCTGGCAGATAAGGCCCTTGTGGCCTGTGCTTGCCTAGCCAGGGAGAACGGGAAGAAAGAATAGCCAGCTAGGGACAAGTGGCCTCTGAGGAGTTCTGGACTGAGAAATACAGGGAAGCTCCCACAGCTAGCAAGGATGTTCTTGACAAGACTTGACTAATGAGGACCCTTTTCACAGCCCTACTCCAGAGCATATCATCTCCATGGCCTGATCCTGCTCTTTGAAAGAGTAACTAGAGACTTCCTGGGGATGAAATACACATAGAGAAAGGTCCCAGAGATCTAGCAGAAGCACTTGCAATATGACCTCCTGGGACTCACTTGTCTTGTGCCTCTCTGGTCAACCCCCAACGCCTCATCAGCAAGGGATGTAGTAACAGTGACTAAACAGCCTCTTGGGACTGAGTCAAGGCACCACTGACAATTCACAGCATCACTGGATGCCTCCTGAGCTGCAGGTGCCTGGTCCCCAACCTTTCCTCTCCTGACCTTCCTTGGTCACCTTCATCTGCCTCTGCCCACAAAGCACAAATTAGTGCCGAGTCTCCTTTTTAGTTTGAATATTCCCCACAAAAGCACACAAATTATATAATTGTCTTCCTTGTAGTCCTCACCCCATGACCACTATTATTTTATTCCTCATGTATCCTTCCAAAGATGTGTGTAGACTCACACATACACATTATCTTTTTGTTCACAAGAAGCAGGAATTCAAGAGACATTCCTATCTATGGTGACAGAGCCATCCAGAAGTCAGAATATCTGTAAGAAGCCTGAATTGGAGGTGTTTTTGCAATGATATTCCCTTTGTGGGGTTTGTTGGTTTTGTTTTTGCGGAACTGGGGATTGAACTCAGGCCCTTGCACTGGCCAAGGAAGTGCTTTTCCACTAAGCCATCTCCCACTTGATTACATTATACTGGAATTCTGGTTTCCTATACAAAACAGAAACCGCAAATCTCTTAAATGTTCAGCTAATCCAAGTGCACCATGCTTCCTGTGTCTTCCACACCAGCCCTAAGCAGTCTCTGCAGGTTTCCCAACAAGCTGCCACCCCACCCCTTTGACAGCTGCTCCACAAAGAACCAGGAGTGTCCCATAGTGATATCCAGCTACACCTGTCATGGTCTCTTTGGTGAGTGCCAATGTTTCTAAGGCAGGGGTTTGAACACAAGGGTTCTATCTTACCAGACAGTTGTCTTAACTATTCTCCAGCTCCAACAATGGTTACACTTCAGTGTCCATATGTGGGTTCCCAGATTGGCTTCTTTTCCCTTGGTCTTTAAGTTCACTCAAAAGCAAATGCTTCCTAGAGTTTTCCCCTTGCTCAACTAACTTTCCATCGGACAGCAGAATCTGTAGCACTTAATTGTTTTTGAAACAGGGTCTCACTATGTAGTTCAGACTGGCCTTGAGCTCACCTTGTAGCCCAGCTGGTCTCAAACTCAATGATCCTCCTGCCTCAGCCTGCCAAGTGCTGGGATTATAGGCATGTGCCACTACGCCCAGCTTCTTTTTGGTCACCCCCCCCCTTTTAAGGCAGGGTCTTGCTATGCAGTTCACACTGGCCTCAAATTCACACAATACTCCTCTCTCAGCCTTCAGAGAGCTGGATTCCTATTTTTGCCCTTGAAAACAGCTCCCTCCCAGTAGCCTTCAGGGAAGAAGCACAGAGTAACATCTCATTCCGCAGCAGCCGCCCAGGGTCTCTTGGCCATCATCACCTGTTCCCTGCCACCCAGAGCAGCAGTCGAGTGGACTAGAAGCGCAGCAGGTCCCCCCAACTTGAAATTCTGCGCAAACTCCACGCCAGGGCACTTGTGGAAGCTCTGGCCCATCTGTGGCTAGCATCTTTCCTTGCAGTGGATAGAAATCTCTTAAGAGATAGAGGTCTAAATAGTGCAATTTGCAGGTGATAATTGGAAAATACCAGGTCTTGGCTCTTTAGTGGAAATGGCAGGAGAAAATGAGGCTTGTTCAGTAAATGTTTTTGTGATTCAGTGTTAGGACTCAAATTATTGCATGATACAAATCTTATTCCATTTTTAGACCGAGCATCAGCACTTTTGGCATACTAATCCAGACCTCAGGCCAGGAGCCATGGGGTCAGAATACCCTTGTTGCTTCACAGTGACCCCACAGCATGGGAGAACCAGTGCTGGAAGGCTTGCTTGTGCTTTGCTGGGACTCTTCTCAGCTCCCTGGGCCAGGTCCAGCCTGGAAGGTCTGTATCTGGGCCTGCTGTGCCACTCCTCTCTGTCCATGTCCCTCCCAACCCTGGCTGACACAGGCAAGGGGAGGGTGGCCAGAGTTAGCAAGTACCTCCTGGTGACAGCCTATCTTCCAAGAGTAACCCTGGTAACTGTCTCTTGACAGATCCTGGCTAGGAAGGGGGCACTTTCGTCTTGCAGTTCAGCCCTTTGGGGTTTATTCACTAGATATTATAACTAAAAAAAAAAGAAAAAAAAAGTTTATGAAATACTGAGCTTCAGGTTTCATAGACGTATTTGTAAACTAAGAATTCTGCAGCAGAATATTTTTAAACATTCGCAGTTTTTTGTAAGCTATATTTTTGTATATTTAATTGCTATTTTAAGAATTTAATGTTTTTGCTAATCACTTGTTTGAAGACAAAACATGCATGTAATTGATTCAAACACATGTAAATAAAAATCAGTTTTGAAAATACTTCATATTGAGCATGTACCTTTTCAGGAGTCACCCACACTCAAGACTGGCTAGACTTGGAAATTCAAGATGAGTGGTTCTGATCAATGGATATGTCCACAGGCACCATGGCTGTCACAGAGGCCCTGTGACCTACCCCTTTCTGTTGTGCGGGGGACACTGGTTGGGAACAGGGAACAGTAGCAAGAGCTTGAGGCCTTTCAAGGGAGACAGCAGGGCCTCCAGTGCAGGCTACAGTGGAAGCCTATGCCTTTTGAGTTTCCCCTGCTCAGCTCTGAAGACACAGCTAGACATAAACAAGCAGCTTCCTGACCATGAACGCCAACATTTAGGGCCACTTCTAATAAGACAGCCAAGCTTTGTCCCTCAGCGGCCTACAACCCCCAAGACTTGCCTTCCTCTCAGCCTCTAGGGAGCCTTGTAACTCCTGCATCCAGGTGCTAGAAGAGAGTACCCTGCCCTCAAGCACTGGAGCCTAGGTTTGTTTACTTGACCTTGTTCTTTTGCTTCCTGTCACTTCACTATTTTTCTCATGCTTCTCAAATTCTCTAAATCTCCTGTATAGATATCATCCTCAGCATTGTCTCATACACTAAACCATTTTGGTATCTCAAAATGAAGCAGTTCAAACCCAGGAAACCCCCCAGTACAGCCAACACAGCCCAACAAGTACTTCCCACAGCCCCCTTGCCACCTCATAATGTGGGGCTCGCAGGCCACCAAGTGGAGAGCAAACTGGAGGAACAGCAGACAGGGTGAGCTGAACTGTGTGCACCTGGAACTGGAAGTAAAGGGAGTCAGCTGTGAAGAGCTCGTCCTGATGTACAGACAGCAGCCTTGGAGGTCCGCAGGCAGAGAGCAGTAGGCATTGTGCTCAGAGGCCAGAGCTGGAATTGTGAACCTGAGGGACTGATACCATCTGTCCTCAAAAGAACAGCTTAGCAGATGAGTGGCCAAGAAAGCAAAGGCACGGTAAAAGGCCCCTTAATTTTTTAAGATCGATCCAATGGTAGCCCATTTAGAATCATTGTATGGAATGACTGAGTCAGCACAAGGTGGAAAGTGAGGCAAAGCAGCTTCTTAACAACAGGGGCAACTGTGGGTCACAGGAGGAAGGCACGGGAAAGGCAGAGTCCCTACCCAGGCTCTGGGCATGAGTCCAGCTCTGACTGTTCCCAGCTGTGTGACCTTGGGTAGACTTTGGTTTCTTCCTGTTACATGATGCAAATAGGGTGGACTAGCAAGATGGGGTCACAGTACAGGAACTTGGAACATCTCACAGGATGCCAGAAGTTCCCTGCCCTCTGGTGGCAGGCAGGCCTCAGGCACTGGGAATAAGGGTTTTTTTTTTTTTTTTTTTTGTTCCTCGAATGCCTTCAGGGCACTTTTGGCCAGCGGGAGAGTTGTGAGGTTCGAACTCCAGCAACCGGAGGCTGACAGCTTTGTGGAAGCAGCCACTTAAAGGACTGAGCTAGGGCCAGGCCCCCCATCAGGCACTGGGGATACTGAACAACACCCACCCCCGTCTCGTGGGCTAAAGCTGGTGGCTGAGGGGAAAGGTAAAGCCACCAAGCAGACAACGGGGGAGATGCAAAATTGGGATCTCTGAGCCAAAGTGACAGCCACAGGGAACCAGCTGCCAGCTCTGTAGTGTGCTTCTTTTCTGTGCCATGGGAGGGCTCAGGCCAAAGGCACCCATGTCCAGAGGAGCCAGGCTCTGCAGAAGGGCTCAGCCCCAACCTCAGGCTGGCAGTTGTCCTCTGCTGCCCCCACGTGGCCAGGCCAACCTCAGCTAGGCCCAGCCCTCGCCACCAAGGCCAAAAGACAGAAATAGCTCTGCCACCCAGCAAAGCCTTGGTGTCTTCTGGCTGCAGAACGGCAGGCACTTCCCAGCCTCCCACAGCAATGCTGGCATCAAATCACTTAATACCTAAGATTTAAGAGCTGCACTATCTCCAAGGAGGCTTTTCATTCTGCACAGCAGAAAACAAAGGTTCAGCCCTTCCCAAGACTCCATCTCACAGCCCATCCAGACTCCTGAGACTTGTTACCACACAGCCTGAGCACCCACCGTGACCCTGAGGAGCTCCTCAGTGGCTTCCACACTTCTCCTTCACCACTGACTTCCGAGTACTTTACCTGTGCACCTGTGTGCACATATATGCCCACACACCATGGCGATTCTAGCAGCCCTTTAACCTGCTGTCATTCTCGTGGGCTGTTTTTTCTACTAGCTTACTTTATAACTTTCAAGTCACTAACCCCATTTGTTACCCAAGAAAACCGCCACAAGTCTTAACTTTCCACCTAGAAGTCTTCATTGTTTTCAGTGTAAAGTAATAATAAATGCCCTCCCAAAAACTACTTGTCAAACTTCGGGTACAGAATTATTAACCTGCCCCGGCCAGGCGTGGTGGTACATGTCTGTAATCCCAACAATTGGGAGGCTGAGGCAGGAAGATTGCTGTGAGTTCTGGGCCAATCTGGGCTATGCACTGAGACACTTATCTTTAAAAAAGAAAAAAAATTACCCTGCCCAGTTAAAAGTTAATAGAACCCTGAAGTAAGCTATTCTTCAGTATGCTCACACAAGGGGGCCAGGGAGATGGCTCAGTGGAATAAGCGCTTCTTTGGCAAGTGCAAGGGCCTGAGTTCAATCCCTGGTTCCGAAAAAAAAAAAAAAAAAAGTATGCTCACACAAAGGCTACATGCAAACCAATAATACACAGATGATCTCCAAGGCCATTTTGGTAAAACTGCAATTAAGACTGACACACAGCAGCCTGACTTGCATTCAGCCACTCAGCTAACACAGGAGCACAAGACAGCTGTCCTGGAGCATCTGCAGGGAATGATGCTGAGGTTTCAAAGCATACCACAAGCTTAACAAGACTACTGAAGAGCAGCCTGAATACAGCAAATCCTCACAATGCAAGGACATGGTCCACTTTGTTTTTAATGTATTTTTGCTTACTGGTTGCTAGTTTAGAATAAATTTTTTTCTTGATGACTTAGAAAAAATACAATTATTTCTCACTTTGATTCAGTAGTAAACAATCATAAAACTGAGTAAGTCTCTTTTTAAAAAATGAAGTTCACAATGTCCATCATGGAAGGATCCAGGAAGCCCTTCCAGGTAACAATCAGGGAATCTTCAACAGCTCAAGGAGTGCTCCAACAGCGCCAAAATAACCCTGAAAAGAATACACCAAAAGTAAGAGCAATTTTCTTCAGATTTACTTCAACTACCACAAGTATAATTACTAACATTAAAGTCAGCATTGCCTTTAATTCCTGACCCATTCCTAAGCCCCAGCTGAAGGCCTAAAGCCAGCTTGGCTACTGTGGGAAGAACAGAGCCAAACCTATGGTGGGTGCCACAGGAGTTACATGACTCAGTATCTCTGGTAAGAGAGGGCCCCAGCTGTTCTGGGGGTATGAGGCATGCCTCCAGACAACTAAGGGTGGTGATATCAGAGGACAAGTGTGAGGCCTTAGCTGGAGGTGGTAGGCCTTAGCTGGAGGTGGGAGGCAGGGTGGGGAACCGAAGCAAGATGCTCATGAGACATCTAAGGAGAAGATGAGGGCAGCAGGGATGAGAAGGGATGCTACTGCTGAGCATGAGGTTACAAGAGCAAAAGATGTGGACAGCAACGCAGGTGGGTTCTCTATAGCCTAAGAAAGGAGCAGCTATGCCCAGAGGTGAGCAGTCAGGAGTGGTCAGCAGTGCCCTGAGGGGATAGGGAGAAGAAGGAAGATTCTAAAGGGAGGGCAAACAGAGGCAAGAGATAGAAAACTACCAACTGAAAGAGAACAAATACCGCATCAGAGATGAGCATTTAGGTCAAATGCAACTGAGAACACAGAAATCCAACCAAAAAGAGAAGGGTAAATTATTAAAGGATACAAGACAAAACCCACAATGACAGAATATCCAATAGAGGCTGGGGAAGTGTCATTCAGTGTTACAGATCTAGCAAGGTCTCCAAAGCATGAGACAAAAGTATTAAAATAAAAAGTAACTGAAAAAGAGATGTAAGAAAGATCCTTAAAAGTCTTGACTGTGAATTCCAAAGAACATATTACAAGCTGTAGGGCAACCTGGACAGACTCTGCCATGCTCAGGTTCCCTTTCAGAGCCACAGATGTAATCTTACAGCTTCCTATGTCTGTACTTCCTTTTACAGTGTAAAAAATAAAGAGGCAGGGTTAGCCATTACACTGAATTCTCCTAGAGACCCAGAACCTATTACCAAGCATGTGTTAGGATGGGAATGATAAAGGATGAAGGAGGCTTTTGAGAACCATTCAACCATAAATGCCTAAGACTCAGAAAAGCTAAAGTAAGGGCTAGGGAGATAGCACAGTGGCATGCACAAATGACTGGCAAATGCAAGGTTGTGAGTTCAAGCCCCAGTACAAAAAAAAAAAAAAAAAAAAAAAAAAAGCTAAAAGTTTTGCAAGGGCAGAGAGCCACATTAGAGTCAGAGGCCTGGCTGCACATGGAGAACAGACACATGGCCCAGCAATGCTAAGCAGAGAAAACAATGCAACCAGCAGGAAGAATGATAAAATGTAAAAATAGCCCGTATAGAGGCGCATATCTACAAGACCCCATCTCAAAAAAAAAAAAAAAAAAAAAAAAATCATAAAGGGTTTATAATTAATAAGTTGACCATCCCTTATCCAAAATGCTCGGATCAAAGTGATTTTGATTTGGGAGATTTTTGGATTTTGGAATATTTGCAAAGAGGTTAATCTGGTATTGGAACCCTAATCTAAAAAAGCTGAATCTAGAAATCTGATGTAAGGCCGGGGAGATGACTCAGTGGAATAAGTGCTTCCCTGGCAAGCACAAGGGTCTAAATTCAATCCCTGGTTTCACCACAAAAAAAAAAAAAAAAAAGAAATCTGATGTCAGAAATGTCAAGTTGGCAAAGTTTCAGATTTTAGAGTATTTCAGTCTCTCAAATTAGAGATGTTCAACCTGTATTACATGAATATAGAAGTCTGAAAGATGTCAGCCTAACAAACTAATCTCCACGTTTACCTAGGAAATGGTTCAAAAAAAGTAGAAATTATACAGAAGGAAGTTATACTAAGATTTAACATTAAGGGACCAGGGATATCGCTCAGTTGCACAAACACCTCCCTGGCAAACACAAGGTCCTAAGTTTGATGACTGGTACAGGAAAAAAAAAAGATGTAACATTAAACAGAATTTCATTTTATTCTGTCGAAGATCACAAAGAAAAACAGAAAGATGAACAATAATAACTTTAATGACATTTCAGTTGATTTACTAACATAACAGCATTCAGAAATAAAAAGACATGGCTTACAATATTAAAGGAAAAGGTAATCTCTACCGATCAAACCCTACTTTGATTTTTTTTCAGTCTGTATAAATACTGTTACACTAAGCTACACACATAATTCTGAAAAATTTTCTTTGTAACACTATCTAAAATCCAAAAACACTTGAATAATTTATTTCAATAAACCACAACTAGCAACTTTATCTTCAGTCAAGAAAAACAGAAGATTAAGATATCAGACTATGCAATTTGATGATTTTTCTCTAGTCTCATTTCTATCCTGCCTAAGTGCTAAGTTCTTATGATAGTGTGGTTCTAGTCTGGAATTTTTTACTGACCTATTCATTTTGAGAGATACATCTTAAAGACATGACACATGAATTATATCAATATAAAAAACTGGCATTAAAAACAAGAAAAAGAAAAGTAGAACCCAGAGGAGCTATACTTACACAGAGTCAATGCAATGGGAAAATATAAACAATGGCTCAGAAAATAAAGCAGCCAAAATACACACAAAAATGTTCAAGTTTTTCTTCAGGGGTTTAGTAGTAGAACACATCTAACATGTACAAGGTCCTTATAGCAAGCACTTACATTCATTAAAGGCCCTAGGTATTGAACATCGGCACCATCACACAAATAAATTTCTTCAAAACTGATTCAATTTACAATTAACCAAAAATCTACTCTGCATTTTATGAGGTAAGAAATAGCTATTAAATTCTATAATCAAAATGAAACCCCTCAGGCCAGCCAAATAGCTCAACAGATTAAAGCACCTGCTTAAGCAGATGCACACCACAGTGATTGAGAATGGGCATGGTGGCACGCACCTATAATCCCAGCACTTAGGAGGCTGTAAACAGGAGGATCACTAGGAATCCAATCTACAGTGAGACCCTATACACCCTGTCCTAAATATAAAAAAAAGAAACTCCTCATTCAATTAAAAAAAAGTACTCAGTCCAGCTCTGCTCTCCTTCAAGTTCTGCTACAGTGTGAACCTGTTACGTATGTGACATGTCCCCAGAAACAAGTGTCCTTACCTCATGTTCAGAAAACAGAGCTTTCAACTGCCCCTTGGACCAGTAATCCAAAGCATAAGCCAAAAGCCGCATGGCGATGGTATTAATCCTTAAGAAATTTCCAACAAATACCACCTGGTTAATGTTCTGAACACATCAAAAAAAAGGCAATTAGTTTGCATCTTAGTATTTTCTCAAAAAAAAACTAACCCCCCCCCACCCAATTTTTAGCAGTAACTTGACTGATGGTCAAATTTAATCCAGTCAGTCAGTGCTACTGAAATTTGATCCCCAAACATCTCTGCACCCACTGCAAACCATGCCCAAATATGTCAAAGAAAAAAACAGATTAGAAAAAGATATATCTATTAAATATGACAAATACTAATTGAAAATTTTATACAGTAAGTTTAAAAACAAACCACAATTCAAAAAGGAAAGTGCCACAAATAGGTAAATTACTCGAAACCTAATATGAAGAAAAAATTCAAATTGAGCATAATTAAAGAAACCAGAATTTTTAAGCCTATTAACTTAATTAAAAAAAAAACAACAACCCTGGGGGGGCCTGCCCCTTAGCTCAGTTCTTTAAGTGGCTGCTTCAACAAAGCAGTCAGGCTCAGGTTGCTGTGGTTCAATCCCCACAACTCAAGCCAGCCAAATCTGCCCTGAAGGCATTCGGATCAAAAAAAAAAAAAACACAACCCTGAAATCCCACTCCCAATACTGGTAGAGTTTCAGTGAAATTGATCTGCCAGTTCACTGCTAGGGATGAACAATAATAAATACATTAAAAAAAAGAATAAAAGTTGAGGCCAAGAAAAGCTTCCCCTAAAAAAGCTTACTGCAGAGTTATCATTATAACCAATTACTCATGTGAATAATTTATATTAAAGAACCTGATCAGTGAAAATTACAAATCTATGCTAATAACCTGATTAAATATGGAATAGGACTGGGGAAATACCTCGGTGGCCTAAGCACCTGCATGGCAAGCACAATGACCCAGGTGCAATCCCCAGTACCACATGCCATGCAGCCCCAGAGCCCCAGGCGCACCGTGCAGGCCACCAACACTAGGCGTGGTGGCCCACACCTGTAACCTCAGACTGGGGAGGCTAAGACAGGAAGAGCATTATGAGTCCAAGCTGCGTAGCGAGACCCTGTACCAAATTAATACGTTAAAAGTTTTTAAATTCTTCTTAAAAAGCATATTTAAGTAAAAAAATAACATGGTATGCATTCAACCAAAATATCCTAAAACACATAACCAAAAGGAAAAGGAACATATAATAAAAACTCAAATGTTTTAATTATTTCATCAGATACAGTATCTTTTTAATTAAAAATGAGACAAATCATTTTGTGCCTTTAAGGTTTCTTTTTAAAATTCATGCCTACGTTACCTATTTAAAGAATAAATAGGGACAAGCCCTAAATCTGCGCCAACTGGTCCCTAGCTCCTCTTTCCCCAAGGGCAGCCCATTCTTGGTTCTTTCATAGCCCTGTACAATGCTGCTTGACCTGAATGCTACAAGGCAGCACTGTAAAGAAGCTGAAAGCACAAAGACATAGCTCTGCTGAGGTGGAGGGAGCCAGGCTGGGCATTCGTCACCCAATTGTCTTCTCCCAGCTTCAGTAAGTTCCAGCAGATTCCTTCTCAGGCCTCTAGAGCTCCCAATGGGCCAGGACTGAAATTCAGCATCATCCCTCCCACAGTCCCCATCAGCAGAACCTGGAAACCTTCCTAACTTCCTCTACTTTCCACTACTTTACCTCTAAGCAGTTGCTATGCTTATCTTCAGTGAAATCAGTGAGGATTAACTTGTAGGTGAAGTTTGAACTTCACACTGAAAGGAAATCTATACAACACAACTACACTTAGGCACTGTTCTAAAGAGCACACAAACAACAATGTCAAGGCAGAACCCACTTAGGAAGTTCAGCATTTCCCTGGGAACTATAAAAAAAAAACCCAGGTCCCCTTACTTCATTAAGAGCACACATTCTTGCTATGGAACCAATGTTGTTGGTGATGGTAATCAAAGTCGCTCTAGCGAGGTCCTCCTTACTGACAGCCTCTCGCTTCTCTTTGCTCATCATGTTTCCAAAGCTGTGATGAAGGGGGGAGGAAAAGAAGAACATCCCATTGCTAAACCAAAGTCAACAAAGCCCAAATGAATTCAATGTTACTTTACTGAGATAAAAGCTGGTTAGAGCAACAATGTTCAAATCTTGCAACTTTTTATTACATAATGATGGAGCATCTGCTCAAAGAGCACTCAGCTTCTAAGTGCCAACAAGCTCTAAATGAGCAGGTGGCTCTCCCTATGCCTTCTACTGAAATCAGCACTGACATCACAGTCCCAGAGTGACCCAGAATTTCAGATTTGCTGAGGGCACCACTACCCCTTCCTGCCACCCGAGTTACAGAGACACCTCTGTCAACAATCATACCAACTGCACAGCCATTCTACTCAAGCTGGTCACATTCACACTGGCAAACTGCTTTATCACAGCAAAGCTAAGTGAGTCCTAGAACAACTTGCTAGTTTCAGATTTCAGGGCTGAGAGTGTAGCACGCTCAAGAACCTGGGTTTAATTCCCAGCACCACAAAAAGAAAAAAAAATATGTTTCAGATTTCCCTATAAGATAGTACTTAAAATGTATTGATCAACAGAAATGTTATATTAACAGCTGACCAGAACATAAACCCAGCCAGTCAGAAAAACAGTGATAACCAGTAAATGCTGCATACAAAAAGTAAAAATACACAGTATTTAACAAAGGCCTAAAATTAGTAACAAGCATGTATGTATATCTTTTCTGTTAAAAAAACATGTACACATAAAACTGTATTTTAAAAAAATCTACAGCAGGAAAAAGACTAAAATGTTTAGGATTATGTTTGACGGAAATATACTAGAATCTATAAAACATTGTTGAAAAAAACCAAAGCCCTAAATAAATGGAAATTATTTCCATTTATTTATTATATTCCATGTTTTTGGACCACCAGAAGACCTGACAGTGTTAAAATGGCAATGCTCTCCAAACTGGTCTACAGATTGAATCTCTTGTCAAAATCCCTGCTATATTCTCTGCCGACACTGCCAAGTTCATTCTAAGATTCTTACGTAATTTTATGGAGCCCCACACAGCCAAAATAATCTTTAAAAAAGACAACCTGGAAGACTCTCTGATTTCAAAACTTAATAGAAAACCAGTCATCAAGGTAGTGTGGTACTCTCATAAGGACAGATATACAGGTCAATGGGACAGAACTCAAAGTCCAGAAATGAACATAAACATCTACAGTTGATTGACTTTTGACAAAGCAGCCAAGAGAAATCAACAGGAAAGGAGTGGTCTGTTCAACAAATGGTGCTGGCACAACTGGATCACATGCTAAAGAAATTTAGCATGGTACTTGCTCTCACTACGTCTCACCACGCACAAAAATTAACTTGAGTTAGGGGTATAGAATACTATGGCTAGCAAGATCAAGAGCCTAGACTTCAATCCCCACCACTGTAAATAAAAATTTTCTTATAAACTTAAAATGGGGATGCTGGGGAGATAACTCAGCAGTCTAAGCATCTGCCTGGCAAGCACAATAACCTAGGTTCAATCCCCAGGACCACATGCTGTGCAAGCCCCTGAATCCCAGGCCCTGGGCATGGTGGTACACGCCTGTAGTCCCACGGCTGGGGAGGCTGAGACAGGAGGATCACTACAAGTCTGAAGAGTGTAGCAAGGCCCTGTGCCAAATAAGTGAATGAATGAATGAATGAATGAATATATAAATAAATGATTTTGAGAAAAAAAAAACCTCAAAATGGGTCACAGACCTAAATGTAAGACCTGCAACTATTAACTCCGAGAAGAAAATAAGAGAAGTAAACCCTCATGGCCTTAAAGTAGGCAATGATTTCTTATACATGACACTAAAAGCACAGGAAATGGAATAAAAGATAAAAGACTATCAAAATCAAAAATTATGCTACAAAGAACATCATCAGGGAAATGAAAAGGCAAGGGGGGAGGGTAATGTTTGCAAATTATAAATCTATTAAGGGACTCCCTTCCAAAATATATAAACTATTCTTGTAGTTAAAAAAAAAAAAAATTAGTGAAAGACATGGACAAATATTTCTAAGATAACAGACATAAGGCCAACAAGGACATGCAAGCTACTCACGAGCCATTCAGGAAATACAAATGGAAACCACAATGAAATAGCACTTCATGCTTATTAGATAGCAAGATAAACATGCTTGCAAGAACATGGAAAAATTTTTATTTTCATAAACTGACAGAATGGCAAAATGATACAGCCACATGGCCCAACAACTCCACTCCTAGATACATTAAAAAAAGGAATAATATATATATATATATATATATATATATATATATATAAAATTCATAATAACCTAAAAGCAGAAATAACTCAAATGTTTATCAAATGATAAACAGATACAGTGTGACTTATCGATACTGTATTTATCCAGCAATAGAAAGAATAAACTTGACTCTTGCTATTAATATAGATGAACCTTAAAAACATTATACTAAATGAAAGCAGCTAGTCACAAAGATCACAAACCACCCACACCATTTACATGAAATATTCAAAACAAGATTCTGAAGACAGAAAGTATATCATCCTCAGAGAAGGCTCAGGGTGAGAACTGGCAGATAACGGATATAAAGATTCTCTCTCAGATGACAGAAATGCTCTGAAATTGGATTATAGTTGCAAAGTTCTGCAAAGTACTAGAAACCACTGAATTTTACACTTTAAACCAGTGACTTTGTGGTACATATACTAATTCCAGAAGTTAAAAAGAAAGCACAATTTCTTACCTCGAAGCCACAGCCCAGCCTGGCAATCCAAACCTCTCATAGTCTCCTCCATAAATGTCTCTTACTAGTTTATCCACTTTGGTACTATCTCCACGAGATGCCATTTCAAGAGCTTCTTCAAAAGTGGTACAGCCAGTTAGAAGACAACAGAGACCAAAAAAAGTTCCTCCTCCAAGACTGTGAGTAAAAACAAGCAATGCAGTATTACAACACTGTTTTTAGAAAACAAAAAATATTTACGAACCCCCAAGTTACATTCATGTATCGCTCCACTCTTGTCCCAAGAAGATCATACAGGTGCCACTAGTAAGAAACAAGTCTGTAAAAGGTCAAACACAAGCACCTCATGTACACCCTGAATGTACATATTTATATGAGCCAATGTCCAAAGCAGAAAAGCTGAAGGCCCACCTTTCTACCAGTGTGCTAGCTGCACACTGAGCACAGTCTGAGCAAGGCCTGATACAAACCCCACCTTCTCCCTCCCCCTCAAGTGTATCCCTGACATTGTTGTTCTCAATCAAGCACCTTGCTGCTCTGGCTCACTGACCACCCCCACTTTCAACAGATATAAAGATTCTTTCTCAGATGACAGAAATGCTCTGAAATTGGATTATAGTTGCAAAGTTCTGCAAACTACTAGAAACCACTAAATTTTACACTTTAAACCAGTGACTTTGTGGTACATATACTAATTCCAAAAGTTAAAAAGCACACTTCCTTACCTGGAAGCCACAGCCCAGCCTGGCAATCCAAACCTCTCATAGTCTCCTCCATAAATGTCTTACACTAGTTTATCCACTCTGCCTCCCAAAAATAATTATTTTTCCATTCTTTAGCTCACACCTATTAAATACTTATTTATCTCAAACCCCAAGCCCCTATTTTTCTTCAAGTGACTTCTAATTCTTAAACCAAAACATATTCATTCCCTTTTTCCATTTAATCTTCCCTTTCCAGATTACCCTCCCTGATCATTTTCCTACTGATCAGTACCTTCAATTTCTGCATCTTAGGCCATTCCCTGGCTGTGTCCAATCCACACAGTGGGAGAATATGTGTCAATGTATAGAATCTACAGGTTTCAGAGCTAGGATCTTCCTTTGCCTTGTCTCATAAGACACCATATAGTACCAGCTGGGTACATGACTACTTCCAGCACTCAAAAGGCTGAGGCAGTCCTGAGCTACCTAGAAAGTTCCCAGGGGTCAGGGAGATGGCTCAGTGGAATAAGCACTTCCCTGGCAAGCACAAGGGCCTAAGTTCAATCCCTGGTTCCGCCAAAAAAAAAAAAAAGTTCAAGGCCAGTCTCAATTACACAGCACTAGCACGTTCACTACTTTTATATATGGATACCAGAAATTATCTGGGAGCAGAACTATGAGCTCAATAAGTCTGTTAATGCATACTTTATTAAATAACTTTGATAAACTCCCAAACAGAATTAAAGTAGGTAATGAAATCAGAATTTTCAAAGAAAAACATGATTTTATATAATCCCAGGAAAAAATGTCTTTCATGTAACTTGAACAAGCTCTTAAGAGTATAATTATGTGTAATACCTGGAATATTTAGTTAACTTTTTATGATATTAAGAATAAACAGGGGCTGGAGAGATGGCTCAGTGGTCCAAAGCACCTACTTAGAAAAAGCTTGGCAAAGCACAGGGACCACAGTTTGATCCCCCAGCACCACATGCCAGCCAGCCCCGCCCCCTGGTGGGCTGAGCTGGCCACATACACACACACACACACACACACACACTAAATAAATGTAAAAAAAAAAAAAAGAATAAACAATTACTTATATAAGACCTACCTAGTACCAGTGACCCTCTTGTAATTATCTTTGGAATATACTGCTAAAATGCTAACTCCTGAGCCAATATTCACCAAAAGCAGAGGGTATGGATTTTTCAATTCAAATGGCAACTTCTGACATTTTTCAGAATCAGCAGGGTTTTCAAAGTAGTAGCACTGCGACCGCCCATTGAATCCAACTGAGTCAATATATAAAATTCCTTTTATTAAGCAATCTAGCTCATCCAGTTTGCAAAGCTGAAGATCACCTATCTGTAATGAAATAAAAACACGTTCAGACTTTAAAAACAGAAATTTTTAAAATCCACTTGAAACAACAATCATACGTTAAAAAAAATGCACCCACAGATGTCTATTGTGTATACTTTTACAGAACAGATTTGAGGACAATGAACATGGGGACGGACTGCTAAAACACATTTCTACTCGCACAGACCCAAACAGACACTACATATAAACCACTGTGGCATTCAGAGATGAATGTCAAAAATGACAAAGTGAGGACTTACAGACTTGCCAACTAGAAAAAAGATCTCCAATCACAGGAACATTGAGGCAGGTGTACAGCTGGGACCGTGGCTTTACCAGAAAGCACCTGATGACACATAGCAGGAGCCAGGCAGACTTTGGCATCTGCTTTCCAAAAGACTGTAAGGTGGTAAGGTGGACCTGAAGTCTAAGATCTGCAAGTGTCCAATTAGCAGGAAAGATTTCTCATTCCCTACACTGGTGACAGCCTCTTGGGAGGACAAGGGTTAGCAGTATCAAAATTTAAACCATTCTGGTCAACTTAATTCTTTTAAAGTAATAAAGAAATTATAAGATTAGTCAGGATATAAAATGCAATATAGCAATTAAAAATGAAGCAGATTTATATGAACTAAAGTGGAGTCACAAGGCATATAATTAGTCTAATCAAGCAAGCTGAGAATGATTTTATAAAATACAATTCGTGTTGGTGATGGGTGCTGGGAATTAAGCCCAGAGCTTTTGCATAGCCTTCTAGAATGCTGGGAATAAAGGCATGTGCTACCATATCCAATTCAACTTGCTTTTGTTTTGACACAGGGTCTTACTATTTAGTCCAGGCTGGTCTCAAACTAACAGTAATCCTCCTGCCTCAGCCTCCTGAGTGACAGGATTGCATGCATGTGTCACCATTCTGGGCTTAACTTGCGTATTTTTAAAACCATATTTATATCTACACGTGTCACACAGTCATTCATAGAAAAATTTAAGATATAGAAACATCTTTTTTTTTTCTCTGTACCAGGGATCAAACTCAGGGTCTTGCACTTGCCAGGCAGGTACTTAAGCCACTGAGCTATCTCCCCAGCCTGCAATATCTGATTCTGTTTATAAACAAGTTTATCCCTAAAATTCTCCCTCTTTAAGACTCCCAATTTGGTCACATTCACATTCAATTTATTCCCATCCACTGTGGAAGGAAGAAAAGTTAACTTCAAGTGAATCCTTAATTAGCCCCTAATTAATATTGTACTCCTCTGATGAAATCCAAGTCCTATGGGTTCATCTGCCACTCCATGTCAAGATGAGTTCCATGCTGCCTTCCTGACACATGTATCTCCAAATGCCAGAATTTTCTTTTCTAAGCCAAATCATTTTATTTTGGTGGTGTACTCAAATCCCAGTAGTTTTCTAATATTGTCAAATAAATTTCTAATATTGTCAAATAAACGTCTCCTTTACCCTCCTAATTCATATGTTGTGCTATCATTCTGAATGAACCGCAACCTAACACACTAAATGACTGAGTCCACAGATAATTTCACTAACCCAAATTACTCAGAATATAAAGTTAGCACCAAAAGCTCAAAATAAAGCAAACTAACTCACATTCAGAAACTCAGTGCTTTGAAAATGTTTCACTCTTGTTTATTAAATACTAGTCACTCCTAGGGCTGGTGAGATGGCTCAGTGGTCTAAAGCACCTACTCAGAACAAGCTTAGCAAAGCACAAGGACCATGGTTCAATCCCCCAGCACCACATGCCAGCCAGCCC